AGCAGGAATTGTGTAATCCCAGTATTTCATCAGGACATATTAGAAGCGTCAGCTATGAGACCTGACTTCTAACCACAAGCTCACAGCAGCTGCATTTCCATTTCCTACCTTCTGTTTGTTGTCCTCAGGAACGTGAATGACTACAATCCCATCGCTCAGGTTACTGGTGGAAATACCTTCAAAAGCAATCCAAGAATTAGAGGAAAAAACTACCAAAGACAGTTCCACACCACCACCACCACCATCATCATCATCATCTTCCCAGTTTCCAAAATACCTTCTGAAGATCATTCTCTCCATCATCTGCTTGTCCATAACCCATTTCCAACAGTGGTTATTTAAACATGATGCACTGTTTGCTCTGTACCTTTCCATGCTACCTTTGTTTTGGTAAGGGAGGAGGGAGGACGTATATATTCCACCCCTGGTCTGTAGTTCAGACAATGGCAGGATTTAAAAAAATACCTACAAAATAGGGTAGGAAAGTTTTGGGGCTTTTTTCTGCCCTCTATTTCAGCAGAAAGTGATGTCCTCCTGCATTTAAGTATTTCTAAGAATTGTGTCCTCTTACTCGTAATTTACAGTTCAAGAACTGCACGCTGACACACAGACCCTTTATCCATCCCCCAGGAAAAAGCATTCTCAGGTAGATCATTGTTTCAAATATTTTTGAAAGCCCAGCTTTCAGAAGTTCATCTTCCCAGCCCCAGGGTCACTGGCAGAAGGGGAAGCCCCACGCTGACCCCACCGTTACCTTTCAGAGTGGCGTAGTCTATTTTCTGCTTGATCTTGGCCAGTTCCACCACATACGCTGCAGACTGGGTCAGAACCAGCAGCCTGTCTCGTGCTTTGAACCCGTTCCTGTCATATTTTATCACGGGGGTCACATACTGAAAACAATGAGCTGGTATCAGCATCTCTCACTGTGGCAGGTCCTGTGCTGGGAGCAGCTCAGTGAGGAGCAGCACTGCACCATGGAGCTGCAGACCCCAGCTCACCACAGCTGCTGCCAACCTCTGCTCATCATCATTTGGGTTTGTTTGGGGTTTTTTTAATACTTGGAAAATCAGGTGTCAGAATCATGCCTTGAGAAAGATGGTTTACCTGTGCCCTCTATGCCATAAGCATGGGAAGTGCAGGGCACACACCTGCATTTCTCCTGCCCATTACAGCCCAAATAGGGTTAGTGATGTTTTTTAAGCTTTTCTTCACAGGAATCTCAGATCATTTTTGTCTAGGTACGTTTTGAGACCTGTCTCCAATTTAAAAGCAAGGAAATTCTTGCTACACCACTATTCAGCAGCCTGCCCTGCCACACAGGCACAGCCCTGAGACAGCCTCGGGTGTCATGGATCACCCCATCTGCATAACCGACCACCTCCAGGACTCCAATGCAGCTGGTTGGAGGGCTGCTGAGCTATGCTGTCCTTCCCTTACCTTGATCTTCTCACCGTGGATGAGCTGCAGTACTTTGGGGTTTATATCATTCTCTTCTGAGGAACAAATCAGAAAGATAAACAGAGTGTAGGTGACAGAGAGCCACCACTCCCACCAGCAAAACACCAGAGAGCTGCATTGTCTTCATCCTTGTCCCCTTGGTACCATCCCTTCTCATCTGAGGGTGTTCACTGCCAGCTTCTCCTAAACCTATTCCAGTGATGTTCTTCCTGCCTGACAAGTAATTCACACCAGGAGTTAACAGCTGTTCTTGGGTCTGGTTCAGGCCCTGGCACAGAAGGACTTGTGTCAAGAACCATCCAGAGCATTTTTCCTTCTGCACAGTGCTCCAGCCAAAGCCCTCTGATAGCTTCCAACACCAGCATCTCACCCACCCACCACTACCACCACAGCCTGCCCAGCCTCCCAGATCCCTTGCCCTGGCACTGCACTGCTGGGGTTTTCTTCTCATGCCTTCTACGTGCTCAACACTAAGTGGATTCCCAGGATTCAAATTCCTCCTTCCCAGTAGCTCCAGTCCTTGAGACTGGATCCCCACAGCTGGCCACGCTGCACTGCAACATCTCTGCTCAGCCTCCTGCTCCATCCAGCACAGTGAGGCTGGGTCCTGACCCAGCCCAGAGGGGATTTTGCTTGAGTTTATGGTTCTCTGTCCCAAGAGGGATCCCAGCTACCCCCAGTTTGAGAGCAAAGTCTGGCAGATTGATCCATTTAGTGTCACTAGATACGACAGAGCAAGGGAATTCACATGATAGGGCCCAAACACAGCAGGTGATGCTGCTCTGTCAGATGGGATTTTCTCATAGAAAACAGAATTTTCCTGAGCAAGGAGCACGTGGCTGAGTCCTTCGGGGGTTTGTTGTGTACTCACTGAGCCAGGTGTCCATGAAGGGCTGGTTTATGCTCTGCACATAGCCCTCCTTCTTCCCTCTGAAAATGGCACTGGCAACCACTTTTTGCTGCAACTGTTGGGAGAAGGAGCAGCCTTTACCCTCCCAGAGCTTCTCCCTCAGTGACATCAGCAGTTTTAACGTAGGTGTCGTTACTGCCCAACATCAACCTCTTACTCGTGCGATATCGACCCGACTCATGCTGTGCTTCTTTCAACATCTTCAGGTTATTCCTGTATTACACCAAATAAAGGGGCAACAGGGACTCAACTAAACTAAACCAAACCACAAATCTTTTCTTATTTATGGATCTATCCTAATTATAAGAGCTGCAGTTTTAATGCCAGGAGATTAAGACCCGTGTGTCTGTAGGAACACTGCACTGTAGGTTGTAAGTGCCACTGAAAAACGCTGGACTCCAGGCTGAGGAGGATTTGCTGAGCAGAAGGAGCAGGGGTGTGTCAGAAGATGCAGTCTGTGTTTCAGACAGTTCACAGAGAGCAGGTATCAGACACACACAGCGTGTTTTAACTCACACATTTGCATTCCACATATTAGTTACCTGCACTTTCCTCTCA